GGAGGGCTAGCCTCCCACTAGTTCGAATTAAGTGGCTACACAGCCCTTAATTCGAACTACTTAATTCGAACTAGGCGTTAGTCCTTGTGGAATGAGGTTTACCTAGTTCGAATTAAGCACTCCACTAGTTCGAATTAAGTTCGAACTAGCGGTTCGCGTGTGTAGCGCCTATTAAAGTTAATTCGAACTAACGTCTGTTAGTTTGAATTAACTTTGTAGTGTAGACATACCCTTGGGCATTAGTGGAACTTATAGCATGAAGGTGGTTTGCAATGGCCTCAGAAAAGGATTATCCTTAGTATGTTTTTCTGAAGTAGATGGAGATGGTTTCATATGGTTTTATGCTGCTTAGTTGAGGGTAAGATGGTTTTAATGTATCTAACACTTTAGCCCTTTCTACCATTATAGTAGCTGGAAGGCCATATTAACGCACTAGTATGACCAGCAAATTCCAAATACCTTTACCCAGCTAAAGCTCTGTGTCTAAATATCCCCAAACTTTAAGAGAAAATTTTGAAAATAAAATTCCCATCTGAAGCTAGAGAAAAATGCACTGGACACAGGCACTAACTTCTAGTTTTCCCAGCAATGCTCCACCCCCATAAGCAGAGGGCAGAGTTACTTCTGAAATGGTCAGAATAAAGGGAAAAAATGTAAATAGAAATCACTCCCACATCAAAGGAACACATACAGCATTATGTGAAAAACCACACAGCACTTACTCTCCCTCGAAGGTGAGTCCTTTCCTCTGGTGACTGCAGAGAACTGAAACAAAGCCAGCGGACTGAGCAAATCAATCCCTGCCTGAAATCCAGACATCATGGAGGATACCTAAGAAGAGAGAAAGACAACTGTGGCTTGCTTGCATGGACTAGAGCAGGATCGAAGGTATGCACACTACAAACAGTCCAAATGTTTTGAATGCACATAAACATGCTTCAAAACTGGTCCCGGTAGTCAAAACCTAAGAATGGCCATACTGAGTCAGACCAAAGGTACATCTAGCCCAGTATCCTGTTTTCTGGCAGCAGCCAATGCCAAGTGCCCCAGAAGGAATGAACAGAACAGGTAATCATCAAGTGATCCATCCCCTGTCGCCCATTCCCAACTCATAAAGGCTAGAAACACCATTCCTACCCATCCTGGTTAATAGCCATTGATGGGACTATTTCCAATCAATTTATCTAGCTCTTCCTACCTAAAAGCAAAACAAACACAAATTTTCACAGAAGGCAGAATGCAAGATATGTTGTCCTCTAAGCAGACTTGACACCATAAGCCACAAGAGCAAATATTTTCCAGATACAGGTACATATGCAAACTCTGCAGTCAACTAAGGGCATGTCTACCACATACACATATACAAACAAGGGGCACAGTTTTACCCCCAAGCACCTACAGATTGTGATTTTGGCTATTGGTAAGTTTATATTTATTACACCCTGAAGTCAGGATACAAGTCATGGACCAAATAAAAATAATCAGCAGATAACAGCATTTCTCCTCTTTTTCTTCTCTTCTGTAAGAATGGACAAGTTCTCCTCTGTTCCATTCACCAATCTTCACTTCCATGATGTCCAGAGGGGCTCAAGCCACCTCACATATTTATAAGGCATATATTGTTACTTTTTGTATTACAATAATACCTAGATACCTCCACTAAGATGCAGTCTCCTAGAGCTATTGAAATACATGCAACATGTGCTATCAGATACATGATCTGAACCAAACAAACAACCCAACATGCAGCTTATAAGTGACTGCTTTTGTTGCTTGTATTTCCGGCCCTTCAACCATCCACTGACACCTACTGGGAAACCATGAGAAAATCCTCATAGACTCATAGACTTTAAGGTCAGAAGGGACCATTATGATCATCTAGTCTGACCCCCTGCACAGTGCAGGCCACAAAATCTCACCCACCCCTCCTAGAATAATCCTCTCACCTATATCTCAGATATTGAAGCCTTCAAATACTTTGAAGACCCCAAGATGTAGAGAATCCTCCAGCTGTGATCTGTACCCCATGCTACAGAGGAAGGCGAAAAACCTCCAGGGCCTCTGTCAATCTACCCTGGAGGAAAATTCCTTCCCGACCCCAAATATGGCGATCAGCTAAACCCTGAGCATGTGGGCAAGACTCATCAGCCAGACACCCAGAAAGTTCTCTATAGTAACTCCTATCATCCCTCCATTGACCTATTTCCCACTAATAATGAATGGTCAATTACCAAAATCATGTTATCTCATCAAACCATCCCCTTCATAAACCCATCTAGTTTAATCTTGAAACCAGATAGATCTTTTGCCCCCACTACTTCCCTTGGAAGGCCGTTCCAGAACCTCACTCCTCTTATGGTTAGAAACCTTCGTCTAATCTCAAGTCTAAACTTCCTACTAGCCAGCTTATATCCATTTGTTCTTGTGTCCACATTGGTATTAAGCTTAAATAAGTCCTCTCCCTCCCTGGTATTTATCCCTCTAATATATTTAAAAAGTGCAATCATGTCCCCCCCTCAG